AAAGTTAACTAAATAACTCTTAACCGTAACGGACGTTTCTTTCTTAAACCGTTTAAACGTAGTTACGTTACGTCGACTAGTAGTAGTAGTAAACGTAGTATGTGTTGTGACGGCTAAAAAAAAAAAAACCCGCTCCACACCAAGTTTGCTATTAGGACACACATTAGTGCGGCTAAAAAAACCCACAAGACTCCCTGTGTGTTCTCACGGTACTCTGTCGTGCGGCCAAAAAAAGAAAAACGCACGACATCCAGTGTATTATCAAGACGCACGGTGGCGTGTCGTGTGGCCAAAATAAAACAAAACAGCAAAACACCGCACCACACCAAGTTTACTATTAGGACACACATTAGTGTGTCGTGTTGCTAAAGAGAAAACAAAAAAAAAACACACGACATCCAGTGTATTCTCACAGTACTCTGTGGTGCGGCCTAAAAAAAAGAAAAACACACGACATCCAGTGTGTTATCGAGACACACGGTGGTGTGTCGTGTGGCCAAAATAACAAAAACAAAAATGCACGACACCCAGTGTGTTATTAACAGGAATGAAAACTTTGTTAGGTTTTCAACCATCCGTATAATCGCCCCCGTTAATCCAGACTCTCCCATTTTATGATTGGTATATATATATATATATATATATGTTCCTCTAGCTTGTAAATAAATTTAGTTGTAGTAGTTCAAGTATTCTCGGAGAGATGGATAAAATAAGCGTAAATGTTTGCACTCGCCTGGAGAAACATTGGCTTATTTGATCGCGCTGAAATTTCTACCACACATTAGGGTATTCTTAAAAGTGGACCGTTTTTAGTTTTATAAAAATCGGACACGAAAAATGGAAGTTATGGGCCCAAAACCACCATCATGTAAAAAGTTTCACACGATTTTTGCGTACTATAGTATACTACATCAGACTTCAATCAATCAAACTAATAAAAACGCTTCCCGGTACATGATTGCTTTTTTAGGTAGCTTATTTTGTAATATCACTTTATATATTATATAGAATTATACAAGGAACATGATATATATTGAAAAACAACTTGCCTGAAAAAAATGTGTACAAGAAGAAAGAACTGAAAAAAGACATGAACTCAAAGTTATTGAAGTATTGAAGAAACACACACGGAGCTATAATGTCTTCAAATTTAATAGGTGTTTGATGCTTCTTGCTCCAAAGTATATCTGATTATCAAATGCATGTCCTTCGTGGTTATTTGTACCTAATGTACAACAAAAAAAGAGTGATATCTAATCATAAACAGCATAGCTGTAAAAATAGCTGCAGCAAAAAAAGAAGAAGAAAGAACTGCGGCAGAAAAACGTGAAATCAAAGTTTGTGACTAAAACGAGAAAATATTGATGATTAAAATTTTATGCAAACTATTGTGACTAAGCATTAAAAAGTTTACAATATTTATAGAGTATGTATATCTGCTACAAGAAATAACATGGCCCGCTATCGGTGCATAGCTAATCATAAAACAACGGTCCATGTGATTTCTTGTAGTAGATATACATACTCTACACATTTTGTAAAATTTTGAATGCTTAGTCACAATAGTTTACATAAAATTTTAATCATCAATATTTGATAATTTTGGCCGCAAAACTTTGATAGTTATGTCACATTTGTGGCAATCATTGCTTCTAGTAAAATCAGTTGATTATAATTTTGCCCCACAACCTACCCCAGAGATTCAGCGTTAAAGCTGCACACTTACAGTGCTAAAAACTTGATTTTAGATACCAGTGGTTGACAGAGCAGAGATAGCCCATTGTGTAGTTTTGTGCCTAACAACAACCAAACCAAAAATAACATGTTACCACGATGCCCCTCAATCAATTATTCCTTAGGACTAAAGTTTCAAGTACAAATTCAATATAAAAAAAACTGCCCCAAGACAAAAAAGGAGGGAAAAATACGAGCTTTTTTTATATTTAGAATTTTCATGAAACACCATTGCAAGTCCCCCGGCTGGACAGTGGTAAGTCTACGGTCTTACAACGCTAAAATCAGGGGTTCGATTCCCTTTGGTGGACAAAACAGATAGCCCGATGCGGTTTGGCTATAAATACACACACGCACTATTCCACATTCCGCTCGAATTATATTTCATTATAACTGCATACATATACAAGTGTGTGCGAAAAAAGTTAAATATAAGCTCGATGGTGTTACTAAACATTTATCTATATATATATTTTGTTTATTTGAATTTATGCACAAAGCTACACAATGGGCTATCCGTGCTCTGCCCACCACGCCGGTTTCTAGTGTTGTAAGTCCGCAGACATACCGCTGTGCTACTGGGGGGGGGGGGGCATATATATTTTATAACGCACGATTATTCACGTATTTGTATACTTGGTGACCAGATGATACTTGTAACACGTTTTAATGTTTCTGATTATGTCCATACTCCTGTATTGCTTAATTGAAGGTGTTTCTTTGTTGATAAGGGCAAAGCTATACAATGGGCTATCTGTACTGTGCCTACCGCGAACATCAAAACCCGATTCTTAGCGTGGTAAACACAACGACTTACAGCTGAACCAATGGGAAAGCCTCCATTGACGAATGCGAGCATTCGATTGTTTTACTATCTGGTGTTAACGCTCAGTCAGGAATACTTCAGTTGTTCGTTGTATTAACTTGTACGATTAAGCAAGCCTAATTCTTAAGAATCAACAAAAACATTGTATTTAGATGTTATTAATTTCTTAACATGATAAATATAATAAAAAACAAATTAATAATTTACAAATCTTGAAATTGGTTCGATGATGTGTATCTTATACAACAAAGAAAAGTGGGGCAGTGGTCACAAATTACAAAAGTTATGTAGCAAAATTTCGTGATTAAACTTCACAAAACTAACGCATGAAAGGGTTTTTCGCTAAGTTCAAGTCTATATTGACGACTTGTCAACCCGACCTTGCCACTGTTATTAAGCCAAATGAATACTCAGAAAAAGCAGCTTTTGGAGAAATTCAAACGTTTGCTGATGATGAAGTTTAATAATTTATATTATCCTGACATCTTACTATAGATAAAACAACAAACATAAAACAAACCATTAAACAATATGAAGGCTTGTTAGTACTTTTTTCCTCCATTATAACGTAAAACTAAATATGTGTGAATTGAATGTGTGTGCAAAACAATAGTATCAATTCATTGTAACTAGAGGTGGCAAATTAGAAATATCATTATTTCTTTAAAGACGCGGTTGGTGAGAAATGATAAAATAAGACCTATGTTAAAATAAGGAATTTAGTGCTATTTTTTTATTGAAACGCAGCTCATGTTGATTGATTAGCACATACAGACTTTGTAAAAACGATCCTTATGCGTCTTTAACTTTGTATTTAAAGTTAGAATTAACAACGTATATATATATATATAAGTTATTGGTGACGCATTTTAAACTTTTAAGTTTTTTAGACTATTTCTGTCCTTTAAAGCATTAATATTTAAGATTAGTTCATTACATTTTACTAACCTGAATAAAAATCTCCCATCGTCGCCTTGGTTACAACTTTTGCACGTTATTAGTTTAACATGCAAAAAAAGAAGAAAAAGTTTGTGTTTAATCGATCCTAGATCAGTGACAAAAAAGAAACGGCAACACGGGGATAAGTTTTAACATCAATATTAACTTATATAATACAACCTTTCATAAAACAACACTCTCACTCAGTTATATTAGGGATGTTTCCATTGTTGACATTTTGACGCAGCTTGCTGTTGCCGTAGCTACGAGCAACGGTAGTGCCATCTACCGCTAAGTTGGGTATAAGTAAAATGTGATTTTGAAAAATTTTAGTAACTATATTAATGTTTATACAGTTTGTATACCAAATTGTCAACAAATGCACTGTATTATCTTTATTTCTAGAAAATAACTATTGTTGATGTATGTCTTAGGTTCTTCCCTGTTTCTTATTCCGATATATCAAACCCATGTACGTATGCTATGCTTACTTCTGTAGCCGAACTACTATTAATGTTTATATGCATCCGCAATACGCGTGAATATAAATAAAAAGGAAACCAATAAAAATCGTTTTAAAACACCTTATCTTAGCTTTACAGTCACATTTAGTCACGCTGGAATCCTGGGAAATTAATAGAGAAAAATGCCCTGCTTTTTCAAGAAAAACTTCGTAGCGATTCGTGAAAGAAATTAATACGCTTCATATGTGCCGGTTTGTCCGTTTCTCGCGGAGTAACACAGGAAATAGTAAGCTGTGTAACGGTTCTCACTTTATCTTACTGTACCGTGGCTTGAGCGTTATTTAGTTCCAGCTCTTCGCGAGTAGAGGTATAGTTGATTTAAATACAACGGAGTTGTTGATCACTATTTCGTTGTTTGTTTTAATTCGTTTTACTTATTTTAAATATCGTTAAAAATCAAATTTTATACAAAATAATACAAAGCACAATATTTTTAAAACCCTCATTGGCAATACAGAAAATTCTGAAAACGAAAAAGTTTAAGTGTTTTGTTTTCCTAAGGAAAGCAACAGTTTCTGCACATACACAAAAAAAAAGAAGAAACGGAAGCAAGAAAAGAACATTTTTTAAATACAAACCTCTTATTTTTTTATAAGTAATTTAAATTCACTTAGATTTTCCATTTGTCCTGGACCACGTGAAAGCGTGTAATCCCGTCACCCTGCAGCCGTTACAAGGAATCAACACCGTTACCGGGAAGTTGTGGTCACTACAAGGTGAGGAAACCCATCTTAATAACATCGTATTTTAGTTTAAAACTACCGCGTTTTTTGTTTGTTTTTTACCCTGTATGCTGTAAGGTTAAAGCCTTAAACATAAATGTGGGTTAAAGGTTATCAACACTCATAGCATTTGTGTACAACTAACCTAAACAATTCCCAGAGTGTTTTCCTCTTAACGTTTTCATTTGATTATTTTTTAAATAATAATTCTAGTTTGGGTTATCAATCTAAATACAGTTGGAAAAATTCAGTTATATTTTAAGTTGTATTCTAAAGAATTATGTCGGGTATCGTTACGTTTTCATGATAAAAACTTACTCTATTTTCAATAACACTCGAAAATAACTTGTCAAGGGATTTAATCAATACCTTTCAAAGTTTAAGTGTTTGTTTCATGTTGATCGTGTGGTAATCTTCGATACGTACATAAATTACATTTTTCTTGCTTCTTGGTAGATACGTTATGGTGGATATAATTCACTGGTGTTTGGTCAACAACTGTGGTTGTATTAAGCGGTTTATATGTCAAAATTAAATACAATAAATTGTATCAGCCTTGCAACTTTAATTAGGTTTGTTAATCTGCAACGTGAAGTAACTGCGCCATCTAATTTTGAGTCTGCAAAGCGTATAAGTAGGCTTTACAAAACTCAAACAAAATACACGAGAAACACTTCAGTAAATGAGATGTGCTACTTCGTATGCCTAACTGTGTTGCAGATAATTAAATAATGTAAAATTGGATTCGAAACAAGCCAACCGACTGTGAAAAATTAAAGCTATTAATAATCACAATAAAATTAACATATGTATTTGTCTTAGAAATATAGAAACAGCAGAAGCACTACCAGATTTAAATAATTTATCAGTTTCCATAGTGAATTGTTTGCTTTTTGTTAAGCACAAAACTGCGCAATATGGAATTTAGCACTATAAGCTCTCCTCCTACCTCCTAAAAAAAAAAAAACCAAAAAAAAAGCTTACCACTGGTCTACCTGGGGACAAAGATAGCAAAGTAAACCATATTCGCAAATCTTATTCAGGCAGTTACTTCTTTGGTTAATGATTCGTAATTACCCTCCCAATTTCGTTAATTGGTGAATATTCCCACAGAAAAGCCTATACCAGTCCTCTTATTACTGTATAAATATGTTTTAGTTTTAGAAACGGGCTGTAGGAGAGACGCCATTCGAAAGTCCCAAAGACTAATCAGGAAAGGTAGCTAGCTGACTTTTCAACGTTCTTCTGCCTATGTTTTAAAGATAAAATTGCTTACAGGTAGTGTTGAATTTTCTATAGACTTTATCTGTCTTAGGTGTAGAAGTGAAAGAAGATACAGTCTCTCTGCTGAAGCCCTCATTACATCGAAACGTATTTTGCGTCTGAATTCCAGACAGGTGCAATCTTTAGAAAGTTCTACGTTTGTATTTTTACAATCTGCCCAAGTACAAAATAGTGAAAACAACTACCTTTGCTTAAGTTAGCACCATGTATACAAATACTTGAGCATACAGTGAAGCGCAAGTTTTAGAAGATGAAATAAAAGGGCACAAATCATTATATCATTAAATTCACATATTTTTCTATAGCCATTGATTGACGTGTAATAATACGAAATGTCCTACCAAGCCATACCTGTCTCTTTTTGCTCAAAGAGGTTTTGAACAGCATTAATATTACATTCACGACTGGTACATTTTGGACGAAATTATGAAGAGGACATTAAAAAGTGGTACATTTTAAGGAATATCACCAGGAGTACCTTGACAAGTTGTGGTACACTTTGGACAGTGTTAACAGTACATTCCAATGGTGGTATATCTTGGGCACTGTTCATCATCCATAAACGCTCAAAATATAAAAAGCTAAACTTTTATTTAGTTTAAACAATAAGATATCTCATAAACAGAGCAAAATAAACCAAAATAAACTCATCTTGCATATTCTTATTAATGCATTATAAAAAGGAATGTGATTAATGCCAAGTTGCTTTATTTTGCTGTGTTTTTTCTCCACTCAAACGTTCTTAGATGGATTTCACTTATTTTTGTGCTATGTCATCCCCAGACACTCACATCATAATCATTATTGTGTAAACAAACATTTAAAGGGAAACAACCCGTACAGGGAAGTATTGTGCAGATAAGGATATTACACACATTATCGAGTATATTACATAGGACTGGAAAGTGTGTTACCTTTATGGGTGACAAAGTGTGAGAAGGAACCAGAAGCAACAGTGACACTGGATGGCACTCTCATTCTGAGCTGAGCCATGCAAAATGAACTCTTGTAATGAGAGTTACAGAATGATGGGGAGGAGGTATTTTTATTAATCGATGTCCTTTGTCAATTATCTCTGATGTGATATGCTTTCAGAAATAAATATTATTTTGTAACTAAAAAGAAGTAAGTAACTGCCTCAGCTAACTGGACGTCGATTGAATTCCTTGCTTTATGTCGCCAACACTAGGATTAGTATATATATTGTTAAATTTGCAAGAGATAAAGTAAAGACCAGCTGTCTGTGGTCGTTGGGTACTAGCGTTTCAAGCACTCACCCCAGTATTCGCTACTGCTCTTATCGTGTTTACTTTATTGGAATTGCTACCCTTAGCAGTGAATAATGGTAAAATACAGGTTAATTCGGAAGCCATATTTCATTCCAGAAAATAATAATAAGTTTGGTATTTTATGCATAATGAGGAAACTATGTAAACAGAAAAGACTACGATAATTTATTTCTTCTCGTTTTTATTTGGGCAACAAAAGCATAATTTTATTTAACATTCAAAAAATAATCAGAAGTACATTCACAAATGGCGCACTTTGAATAATATTAACGGTATAGTCCATTTACGAGGTGTTATATTTTGCATAAAATTATCAGGGGGCATTCACAAATGGTACATTTTGGACAACATAATTAGGAGTACTTTCACAAATGGTAAACTTTAAACAATATTAACAGTATATTCATAAATGGTACTTTGAACAATATTAACAGTACATTCACAAGTATTATGTCATGCAAAAAGTTATCAGTAGTACACTCGTGAGTGGTACACTTGAGACAATATTAACAGTATCTTCACAATTAGTACATTTTGCCCAAAATTACCTGGAGTACATTCACGATTGATACATTTTACACAAAAGTTTGAAGAATACTTTCATAAGTGGTTGACTCTGGACAATATTATCATTGCATCCATAACTGCTACATTTTTCCCGAAATTATCAGGAGTAATTTTACAACTAGTATATTTTGGATAAAATTATGTCTTCCAAACAGCTTGTTTTGAAACCAGAAGTAATTCATTTATTTGTATTCCTATTGTTTCGTTGTTGTTGTTTGTTATTAAGCACAAAGCTACACAAAGGGCTGTCTGTGCTCTGCCCACCACGGGTATCGAAACCCGGTTTCTAATCAAGTGCCAATGCGAATGCTTTTAAGCACGTGATTATGCAAATAATCTTTGTCACGTGATTGTGATAATAATCATGTTCACATGCTTATGATAATATATTTCGGTTTGTGGACTTGGATTAAACTTCAGAATGTTATATTTTGTGTATAAATATCTGTCTTTGTAGCATGAACGTAAGTAAGGATGGATGTCTTGGATACAGGATGGATTGGAAAAAAAAAATCCACATATGCTTAGACAGTTGGAAACTCGTATGATATATGTAGTAATTCAAAATGGCGTGTAAAGTGATGATCACACTTGTAACAAAATTGATTTTGATTTTTGACCCGGAAAGTAGATTATTTCTAGCATGTATCAAAGAGAGTTTATTGAGATTCAGCATGGTGATCCTGATTTTTTTATTTTTTTTTTTGCAATTCATAATATGATACACGTGTAATATTTCGATTTCATCTCGATATGACCTCTAACTTGTACAGTATGTAAATTATATTTCATGCTACTACTTGTTCTAATACCTTGCTTTTAATCTAAATGGTTTATATTAACAGTAATAAGAAGAAATGCCTGGACTCTTGCCCTTCACTCTCCCTCTTTTTTTTTACTTATATATCTTGAAGGTTACTTGGGCGTAGCCTAACAGCTAGCTTGAGGGCTGTTGACCAATAGGTTTAGAACCTGCGATAAGCTGCTGAATACACTCCATACTTCTTATTTCATCATTTGGTTAAAAGTAGCTATATATTTGCAATGGGTGCTGCTTACTGGTTCCCTTCATTCTGATCAATAGATCGAAATTAGGGATTCCGTTGCAGAAACTTGAGATTTCTGGCCTAGTCATTATCCCAAGTTTTAAATGAGATGCTATCCAGGTTAAAAAATACAAAAAAAATCTCATGAAATATCAGCCATTTAGTTTTGTATAAAATGAGATGTGTGATTTTGAAAAATTTGTGCAACCCTTTTCGTATTAAGTATGAAGATTTTAACAGGCAAATGTTCAGTGCTTTGAAACTTAGAATGGTTCAAAGAGCTCTGTAGAATATCATACAAAAATGAATTTTTCTTTCTTTCAACGTTTTTATTTTTTTTTTCTTACGAATTTGGCACAAAGTAAAATTGCAGAAAATGACAACTACCGAAGTGGCTGAAGTCGGCAGAGTACACGGCAAAGTGTGCATTCTTGTAATCAGAGCACACGGTGAAGTGTGCATTCCTGAGTGCGATGGAGTGAAAATTATTATAAATGCATCCCAGTAAAAAGCAAACCCTTGTAGTCTGAGCCTAGTAAAGTGGTTGTACTGGTTGTCCAAAACCTCTTGCCCCCCCCCCCCTGCAGACACCTTTGACTGCGGAAATTTCTAACCAGAGCCTAGTAGTAGATTGGGACCCTCGTAACTGAAACGTAGTAGAGGGTAGCTCAGATACAGTAAACTGCAGATCTTTATAACCCAGGAACTAGTAGATGTAAAATTGGTACCCTTGTAACTGTAACCTGGTAGACTACAGACCTTTATAACCCAGGACCTAGTAGATGAAAAATTGGTACCCTTGTAACTG